GACGGCACATAACAACAGTGAAAGAAGCCAGACGTAAAAGGTCACATATTGTATGATTTCATTTATAAGAAATATCCAGGATAGAGACAGAGTGCAAAAAGTAAGTAAAACAGTTGTCTGTCACACACGTGTTAATGTCAAGTAAATCAATCTGGTCTCCTGATTTAATAGTCCCAGCCTCTAGCAACTCACCCAGGAGACAAAGAGCTGTACTGGGCTCCACTCTGCACCAGCTGGCTGAGTGGCCAGGCCAAGGGACCTCACCTCAGTAGGTCTAGCTCTCCTCTTTAGAATGAAGGGTTTAACTAATGATCTTTCCCTGCTCCAGAATTGATGCCAGAAGCCCAAAATATCACTCTAAATCCATGGAGACAGAAAGCAGATCAGTGATTACCTGGGGCTGAGAGTTGGGAAAATAGGAAATAACTGCTTAGTGGGTATGGGGTTTCCTTTGGAGGTCATGAAATGTTTTGGAATTGGATGACAGTAGTGGTTGTATAACATGGTGAATGTATTACATGCCACTGAATCATTCATTTTGTTATTTGCTGTCAAGTCAGCCCCGACTCATAGCGACCCCTCCTTGGGTTTCCGAGGCAGTATCACTAGGGAAGTAGATTGCCCAACCTTCCTTCCAAGGAGTGGCTGGTGGGTTTGAACCGCCAGCCTTCTGGTTAGCAGTCAAGTGCCTTAGGCACTCTGCTACCAGAGTTCCTGAATCGTTCATTTTAAACTATTTAATTTTATGTTACATTAATTTCACCTCCATTTTAAAAAATCAAAAGAATAGTTTTTTGGACACATGAAAATTCTGGAAATTCGGATCTTAGTGTCCAGAGATAACATTGTATTGGAACACAGCGACACTCATTTGTTTACATAGTTCCTGTGGCTGCTTCTGAGCTGGAAGCAGTTGAATAGTAAGGACCTTGATCCTATGACCTGCAAAGCCTGAAATGTTTACTGTCTGGCCCTTTAGGGTAAAAGTTTGCTGACTTCTGTTCTACATCATTCCAACATGTCTCGGAAGGTCTTTAGATGCTCTTTATTTCTCCATGACTGATTTTTACACCTTAAAAATCATACTCATGTTATTTATCACCAACGTTTCAAGTCACCGGAGTGTTATAAAGATCTTTAGCTGTATCTGTCATCATTAGGTACTGTTTATTTATGGGATTAAACCAAAGCAAAAAACCAAATTCACTGCCAGCAAGTCGACGCCAACTCATAGTCGACCCCCATTGGGTGTCCAAGGCTGTAAACCCTTACACAAGTAGATTGCCTCATCTTCCTTTCATGGAGTGGCTGGTGGGTTTGAACTGCTGACCTTCTGGTTAGCAGCCAAGTGCTTTATCCAGTACGCCAAGCTCCTTGCCTGTGTGATTAGGAAATAAGTAAATTTGCTGTTTCAACATTCTGAGTGTGAGGGTGTATGGAATGATTTGTTTCCCAATTTGGCATAACCTGGATCTGCTTTCGAGCATTCTGGGACAGCTCCTATAACAGGGTGGATTTTAGGACTTTGAGCCTTAGTAGTATTATACTGTAGTTTTATCTAAGGTGATTTTTCCATCTGAACATGAAAATGTCCTGTTTATCCTTCCTCCCCTTTAAGCACAAATTGGCCCCCCAGCAGTTGCTCTGACTATTGATGAGACATCTATGTCGATTGTTCTGACGGCTCCAGAGAAGTGGAAGAGAAATCCAGAAGAGAGGTCCATTTCCATGCAACAAATATACCCCACTTTGAAGTATAATGTATCTGTGTACAATACCAAAACAAACAGAACGGTAAGCCTGAAGCTGAATGGGGCAGATAATCCTTGTGTGTCCCCTTTTGTAGTGAATGCAGGAACAAGCAACCCTGGTGCTTTGATCCTCTGCATGTGAATCTGGGAAGATGGGATATTCAAGAGAGATGTCATACTAGATACTTTGAAGCTAATGTGCAGAAAATTTGAAGAACTGCCATCAGCTTTTCTTTCCAGAAACTGTTAGCACAGTGTGATGTTGCTATTGGAGTGTAGCTCAACTGCCTGCCTCATTTTGATAGAGTGTTTCCTTGCATCACATCTGTCACTCCTCAAAAAGGAAAAAAAAGTTAGCAAAAGAGAGGACAGAGTTTAGTATAAGAACATTCATTGATAGATTATTACAGTAAAACCTGCAAAAGCCAGAACCTGTATAAGGCAGAAACATATCAGAGAAGGAAAGCACAAATATTTTCCACTAAAATAAGCAATAGAGAAGTGGTAAGAGTATACCCTGTCAAAAGCAGAAGAATGTGAGACTGGAAAAGCAAAGCAATCCTGTCAAGTTCCAGCTCTCACAGGTTTCCCTGTATGTAGAATTGTTTCCAATCAGTTCCTGGCCATACTTTACTGTGCTAAAGGAAAAGGGCATTTTTAAGCTGCACCTGAAAGGAAACTTGTAGTTATGGTAAATGATCTAATCATACGTTAGTCTTGAGTTTCCTGGAGTCATTTGTTTGGGGTGGGACCTGAAGATGTCTTAGGCTCTAAATGCTGTTTGCAATTTCTTGACCTAGTGGTTGCAGTGTGTCACCAACCACTCTCTGGTGCTCCCCTGGCTGGAGCCAGACACTCTGTACTGCATCCGTGTGCAGGCCCTCATCCCTGGGCCTCCTCGCCTCTCTCCACCTTCTGAGAAGCAGTGTGTCACTACTTTAAAAGGTAAGTTTTAAAAGCCTCAGCTGGTCTGAGGAGGAAAATCTGATAAAACTAGAAGGAAGTATGGCAGTCTAGACAAGGGCTTGACAAATCCATGTCTCACAGAAGCAGGCTGAGGCAAAGCAGAAACAGCCATCACCAGAAATGCTATGAGCAGCTGGGATGCTGCCATCAAGCCTGGGGAATGTTAAACAACAACAACAACAAAAATAAAAAAAAAAAAAAAACAGTTGCCATCAAGTTGATTCTGACTCATGTGAACTCCATGTTTCTGAGTAGAACTGTGCACAGTAGGGTTTTCAAGGTTGTGACCTTTGGAAACAGATGGCCAGGGCCATCTGGGGCACCTCTACATGGATTTGAACTGCCAACCTTTCTGTCAGCAGCTAAGTGCTTAATTGTTTGCACCACCCAGGGTCTCCTTAGGGACTGTTCTCTCTGTCTCTCTCAAACACGCACACACATACACATGGGGAACTCTCAGTCTCTGCTCTGGAGTCTCCCACCAACAAGCCTCCCACCATCTCATGGCTTCCTGCCTAGGGAAATAACAGTTAAGAAATCATACTCACTCCAGTCAGCACAAATTCTTTTGGTCGTCAGGAACATCAGATAATTTTACTGCTGGAAACCAAGAATGATCCTAAAAGTACTTAAGAACAGAATCTTTCTCTCTTCTGGAATACAAATTACAGGCACTGCAAGTTGTATTCTGACACCACTGACTGGCTGTGTGAGGGTCTGGGATCAGCGAGTCAGGGATTATTTATTCCCTTATAGTTGCTTCTCTCTCCTTTTATGTGTCTCTTTCCCATTTTTCCTGAACTTGGCTGCCAGGAAGAACTGTGGCTGCAGATATTCTGTGTTAGGAGACATACAGCTATGCGATGGCTTTTGTTTAATCTTTCCTTTCACAGGGTGAAAGGGACTTACATGCAAAATCTGTGATTTGAAAGGAAAATAAATTGTAAACTGGCTTCATCAAGTGGCTTTTCTCCCACTACTCTTCTGTTTCTGTCTTCCACACATGCTGTTCTAGAGACAAATGTTTACAGTCATTAACCCCAGACCTCAGTGCACATTACCAGCTATAGAACTAGCAGCATACCCCTGCTAAGGCATTTGGCTGCTAACCAGAAGGTCATTGGTTCATAACCCACCAGTTGCTCCATGGAAGGAAGATGGAGAGATAAATATCTGTAAACATTTACAGCCTCAGAAACCCAATGGAGGTTTGCTATCAGTCAGAATCTACTCAATGCCAGTGAGTTTTTGTTGTTGTTGTTTTACCCCAAAAAATGGCAAGGGAATATTGTGAACACATATGTAAAGTGAAAAGTGTTATTTTTCAATCTCTATCCTTATCATAGTCATATAATACAGCTGTAACAGAAATATCACAGGCGGGTGGCTTTAACAAACAAATTTATTTTCTCACACTTACGAGGTTAGAAGTATGAATTCAATGTGCCAATTCTAGGGAAAGGTGCGCTCTCTCTCTCTCTCTCTCTCTCTCTCTCTCTCCCCCCCCTCCCTCTCTCTCTCCCTCCCTCACTCTATCTTTCTCTCTCTCCCTCTCCTTTTATCTCTCTCTGTCAGCTCAACAGGAAAGTCCTTATCTCTTTAGGTTCTATTTTTTGGCTCCTTGGAGATCTTTATGTGGTGTGGCATCTGTCTTCCCCTATCTTGCTTGCTCCTATGTCCTTATCTGCTCTTTCTGTATCTCAAAGGTGATAGTTTAAAATATACCATACATTGATGTGGCCTCTTAACATAA